TTTACTAATTTGTATTTTAATGTTCACTGGGTGAAAAAACCAGTTTCCCATTGTTGGAAACCTTATGGAAACAAAAAAAGATTACATTATGTTTCCTTGTGGTTTCCGTGTGGGATACTGGGTTATTCCCCCTTGATTCCGTGCAACGGAAACACCCTACGCTCCGATTCCATTAGGTATCACGAGGCTTGGAATCCAGTGGAATCGCGAGGGAAACTTACGGAAAGCACAGGTTTCCATGTCGGCAATCTACGTGGAAACTACTGAGGCATGTTTCCACGGTTTCCTATCTTGGGAAACTTATGGGAAACCACAGGTTGATTGTTTCCATGTCGGGAATCTATGTGGAAACCACTGTGTGGTTTCCACAAAATAAACTATATGGAAACTACTGATGTCACGATTCCCGTATGTTTCCATCAGGTTTCCAAATTTGGGAAACCTGGCTTTTCATCCTGTGGTTTTTAACCAAACTGTGTCAAATGCCTTGCTAATATCACAAAAGGCAAAGCACGTGACTTCTTTATTGTCTAGAGAAATACAGATATTGTGATAAATTTATATTAATTAGGTAACCGTTGAATGGTTACGCATTCATCCAGCTTGTAGATTATATAAAAGTTTATGTGATACTAAATGGTTATAATTGTATTTAAACATTACTCTTACAAAATTCAAAAATTTTTCCTATACAATTGGTCTTTAGTTGGATGGGTTTGATTTCTCACCCTTTTTAAAGACAGGAATGACATTAGCAGGTTTCCAAGCACATGGAAATTTCTCAGTTCTCAGAGATTTATTAAAGAGGATTTCTAGTGGGATTGCTATTTCGTTACTTATTTCTTTTATTAAAATATGACTGAAGTTGTCTGGACCAGAAGCTTTTTTTTATCTAAAGTTTCAGTAATATCGACAATTTCGTTTTCGTTTATTACTATATTTTCAAGTTTGGCTTCTGTTGTTGATTCGAATTAGGGAAGATTTTTGTCAGTGTTATCATTAGAAGAACTTTAAAGAAATAAGCATTCAGTAATTCACGTCTTCCTTCATCTGTAAATACATAATTATTATTTTCTTTTAGTAGAAGAATGGAGTGTGACGCCTTAGAGCCCTTCAATAACCTGCAAGTTTGTACAATTTAGATGATTTAATTATTCATTGAGGTTTAACAAGTACTCTTCTAGTTTCTTTTTTAAAATTGTTGACCTTATTTCTTTGTTTACGGTATTTTGTTTTATCTTTCTCATTTTTTTAATTTCTGTAAGCTTTTCTAAATTTTTCGCGCTAGTTTATTTCTTTCCTGATTTCAGAATTAAACCGAGGTTTATCGTCCGGTCTTACTATTACATCTATTGTGGGATGTGTTCATTCAGAAATTTTGAAAGTCTTCCGTTAAATTTCAAGATCTTCGCTATTTAAGATTTCATCCTAATTTGTTCCATTCATTTCCTCTCTAAATAGATCGAATTCGCTCTTTTGTACAGGAACATCTTTCGAACATACGTATTTTGCATCGCGGTGTCTAGTTTGAGTAAAATATAGGTTGCTTTGTGATCACTTATAGTTTTGTCTATATCGATAGTTCCTGATTCAAGGCAATCAAGGGAATCTCTAATAAGTATGGGGTTGGTACAAGTCCATGTCATATTTGTCACTCTTGTTGGCTCGGTAATATAGTTTTTGAGATTATTTGTCATAATTAAATCATATACGTTGGTTGGAAGCTTTTTACTGAAATCTATATTCCAATCACCATTTAATACTAGATTATTAGATTCATCTAGAGCCCTTCCAATTGAGATCTCAAGCCAATTCCAGAATTCAACCTTGGATTTTTCAGGTCTATAGATGATGCATAGAAGAACACTTTTTGATTTTAACTTAATTTCTACCCATATTGTTTCATCAAACGCATTTTCAAAATCACGGCGTCTCAGAGCTACTAAGCCTTCTTTTATATAAATAAGAATTCCACCACCATGACTAGTTCTATCTACATGTAATCTAAATGGAGGATTATATCCTTCGATTGTTAAATTCTCTGTATTTGCAAGTTCATTCAAATTGGTCTTAGTAAAGCATAAAATATCGTTCAATTCAAAGTCATTCGCTATCTTGTCTAATTTGTGTCGTATATACTTCTACAGTTCATATGAAATATTGATATACCATTTACGTTTAACTCGGGACCAGGATTTTCCGCAATATAATTATAATTAACGGGAGCAAACGGTGCAAAGTCATGAGGAGAAGAATATATTGGATATTTAGTATATTTCTCTTGATCAAATCTTGTACTTGGGAGAGGAAAAACAATTTTATTAGTTTGCCGTATTCTAAAATTAAAAACACCTTGATTTAATGGATAAAATCAGATAAATAGTGAATAAAAACATTCTTCTGACATTAAAAGCTACACGATTTAGCTTTAGACTGGTAATGTAGGCCTAACTTACACTACGACGTCATGTGACTTTAGAGTCTAATACCCTGTTCACAAGGAGATTTTAATTCGCAGTAAATTATCACGAAGTAAACTAATGCAAATCAAACTAATGTGAATCAATCTGTGTTCACAAGACAGCTTATGCAAAAAAAAAAAAACAAATGCTAATAAAAAATTTACTTCTTTAGTCAGGCGTCAGTGAGGCGATTATGACTTCATTTATGCAAAAACGAGCTATTTACAAATACTTCCGGTCTAACCGGAAGTGGCGTAATTTTTAACAACTGTCAAGGTATCACACCGGTAATTGACCAATCAAAATGAACTTAGTCAAATGTAGGTCCATATATATAAAATTGATTTTCTTTCCTTTTGAGACGTTTTTATTTTCTTTCATGCCATTTTTACAACTTTGGTACCTGTGCCTAGTAAATTTTATGTACTTTGTGAATAAATAAAGGTTTTTGACAGGAACTATTTTTTTCATGGCATAGAAGGCTACTTCCTGTAGTGCACTCGAGGTGTTTATAAACACAGTGAAAACACGTGGATTTGAGGGTAGCCGTGTTTGCAGATGGAAAAAGTCCGAAAATGCCGTGTGGGTACCCTGTTTTTTGGTGTCAGCTAATGTGGCAGGTAATGTTTAACACCTCCTGCTAATATTTTTTCATGTAAACAAATACCCGATTTTTAACGATTTTTTATTCTATATAGAATTATATTTTGAAAACAATTACCGGTGTGATACCTAAATGATCTCCGCATCTGCTATTTGTTATTCTGAACAACTTTCCTTTTATGATGCTTAACAAATTGTCAAAACTTTTTGACATATTAGGAAAAAAAATTTTGGCCCCTCTAGCTCCCTTATTTCAGGGGACAGTCCCTAATTGTTGATATCCTTTTAAAGGTCGTGATATTCTACACAACTTTTGTTCTATATGTCTTTACAAAATATTAACATGTAAAAAGATATCGTACAAAAAGTGTTAAAAAATTCTAAATTCCGGATAAGAATTTTTCGAGCCATAGTGAGCGTCAACGTGCTGCATTTTCGGAGAAAAAGAGAGGTGTATGTCACATCAGCACAAGTTGCTTTATCCTCGCTGAAAATATTATGTTTCTGTCTAAAGGCAGTTTAGAGAAAAATGATGACCAATGTGACCCTCTGAAAAACACTAAATCGCGGAAATTGCGAGACCAGAAGTGACGTCATCAAAACAAAAAATAATATATCAAGTTCGTTTGATGTTCTATCAGTCCTAAAAGTTTCACGAAAATCGAGCGAGCCGTTTCCGAGAACTCTCGTGCAAAAAATCGGTAAGAAAACAAACAATAATAATTTTAAAAAATTGTTGAAAAGAAACCTAAGAATAATAAGGTCTTCCGCTGAAGCCGGAAGACCTTAACAAGTAACAGCGTAAAAACAATATGTTCCCCAACTTCGATTTTTATTATATGATAACGTGAAGAACTGCATGTTTTTGAATTTAAGGAGTAACGAATATTTTAAAAATATGGATTCTACTATTGTGTTGAGATGAATTGTGAAACCCTGGTGATATATAATTCTTAAGACAAGGTAAGAGAAATGCGTGTATTAACGGGTATATATGTAAAGTAGTAATTCAATTATCGTAATGCATCGGTGGATGCAAGCTGTGCAATATCTTAATTATTAACCCACATGAAAAAAATTGATAAATACATCAGACAAAATTGTTTTCCAGAAGCAATGACCAATTTCGTGAAATGAAATGCTATTAAATTATTTTTTAATGTGACTGGTAAATGCTATAATATTAGTTTTACAGTAACAGTTTGCAGCCTGACAAATGGAGTTCTTATTTATATGTTTGTAATAGATTCCCCGCTCGCATTGCTATTGTTGGTAGGATTCATCGTAAGGAGATATGCATTTTGTTTGTTTGTAACCCTTGTGTGACCTCTCAACTTCATAATCTGGTGACCCCCTGCTTTTTGATTCATGATGCTAAAGGATATGACCGACGTGAATACAACAGCGGACTACTCCTGTCAGAAAACGTCATTTTGGGTAAGAAAATAAAGGAATAAAGAATGTGGCGGATCAAGGGTAAAAAGTTCCTTCCGTAATATGAGATAATTGGTGAGAGAGAGAGAGAGAGAACAGAATTAACTTAAAAAACATTTAAGAAATGCTGAGAAGTTGAAAACATACCAATGTAAAAATGTGCAAGAAAATATATACAAAATATATTTTCAAACATGACTATGAAAATATATATAAAATAAACGAATAAATAAAAGATAAAACCCTAAAGGACTAGGGCAATTAAATAACAGTTGTTTTTTTTTTCAGAATGATGATATATTTTTCCAGGGTCAGCTCCAAGATTTCCGGCACTGTTTCCGGAATTGGGTCCTGGTATGGGTTCCATGTGGATTCCTGCTTCTATGTTCGCCTTTCCAGTATTGGCTAGCTCTGTAGTGCGATAATTACATCGGATATCCTCTGCCTCTTGGGATCAGAAGTGTTGTAAAAAGTGTGAGTAAAATATAATAAATTTCCTTTGATTATTAGAAGAGAGAGAGAGAGAAATAGTAACGTTTTTCTATTTAAGAGAGAGAGAAAAGAAGAAGAGTGAGAGAGAGAGAGAGAGAGAGAGAGAGAGAGAGAGAGAGAGAGAGATGATTATTGAAGCTATTACACATATAGAAGAACACATTATAAATATAAGACAGGAAATTCTTTGAAGGAATGTAGCCCTATGTTTATTTTTTTATCTCGTTCATTCGTTGATGTTTTAACTAGATAGACTGATGCATGTGCAGTAAATACGATTTTCGATTTCTTAAAAACTACCTGAACTCGATTGGACCGAGAAATAATGTCGAGATACCACAAGATGCTAGACAGTTAGGGAACAATACTGAAGGAATAATGTACTTCTAAATCACTTAAATAAGTCATGGTATTTTACATATCGAAAGGTGCAGATACCTATAGGTTCAAGTGTATTGTTTAATTAAAGAAACGTTCATTTCTTAGGATGAACATTTTCAATGTTTGCACTAAACTGCATGCAATTAATCACGGATTGTTCGTTAAGGCAAACGTCGATATATACATACATTTTACCTTTACCCTTTCTTAAAACATTTAATCATATGAGTATTTTACAAATTCTTGCAGCTCCTATGTATAGTTTTGGCTTCCTTGACATGCACAAATGTGGTTTTATCTTCAATACGTGGATACCACTGCGATTCCGACGCCACGGTACCAGAGGAATACTACATAGGCGCCGGTGCTCTAATACTTGTGTTCGTAAGTACATAAAGACGTATATTTTACTGCAGAGAGATTTTATATCCCGGTATTAGTTACGCATAAAAATATTATATTTCATATAGTTCTCTTAAACTTTGAATTCCTTTGTTGTAGGTATATTCAGCTGTAATTACACAGGCACTACGTAAAAATCACGTGATCTCTTCCGGAATTTTGATTACGTTCTGGATTCTACTTCTAGGTTGTAGCACTGTTCCACTGCAGTCAGCAATATCATATACGGTAATGAAATAACACGGGGCAATATCATACAGAGAAATGTTATGATACGGGTCAAAATCATATAGAGTTATGTTATAATATACAATTATTTACTGTTTAGAAGGGAGACATCACCAATAATCAGGTCTGAGTAGGGTTGTCACCCTCGGTCGCAAGCACCCGAGGGTGACAACCCTACTCAGACCTGATAATTGGTGATGTCTCCCTTCTAAACAGTCCATAATAGTTTCATTATCCTGAAGAATCTTAAAAGAAATAAAGAATATTATTTTAACAATTTATTGAATGTAATAAACTGTAACAAACAATTCAAACACTTAACATCTGCTCAATTATTTCAATAATCATTTGCTTTTAATGTTGAAATTGACAACACAACCATTGATATGGTGCAAATCTTTCTAGTGAAATAGGAACTTGGGAACAGCTTGGAACATTTGCAGATAAAGACACATTTTCGTTTTCTTTTTTTCATTTTGAAACGAGTCGTCGAATAGAACTTCCACTTGATCTGGTGAGAGATCTAATATTCCATCACAATTTGTGGTGCATTCAACAATTTTGGTTTCTGACGTCTCGACCAATGCGGCCAAGAGAACTTGACTCATCTTATATTTGCGCTTAGTGCCAACTTTTCCTGTGTAGCTTTATAGAGAAAATTCTGATTAATGGCCAGAGACAGACAATATGTCACGACTTGAGAAATTGTTCACATCCAAAATGGTAATGTTTGTTGCCCTTAACGAATGGTTGTTGTAGATGTTTCTTATACCTGCCTGCTTACAAATATTTGGTAACATCTTTGATAGCGTATTCTTTCTAATAGGTTGTTTGGTGTACCAGATACCATCACTGCTTTAAAATGAATCGACTGGTCTTTGCCTCAAAGTGTTGTTGTCTGGGTTCAGTTTTGAAACATACTTTTTATAGCAACTCACTGGTCAACGAAGGTGCCCTGTAAAGATACCATTCAAAATTTGTTTTCAATTTTAATCAATCTGAAAAAAAACATTGCATTTTTCACATGTTTTAATACATAAAGCTTAAAGATGTAACATTTCCCTTTAATTTCGTACATCCTGCGATCTGTAACATAAGAAGTTAGATCCGAATCCAAGCGATGATTTCTATCCAACTCATCAATATCTTGGAAAACAAATTCTCTTCCCGTACTATCTACTGATACTTAGTCTCTTTCGTCATCAATCGAAGGTTTTCTCTACCCCTTCTACACAGATGATACATAATATCGAACCAGACTTTTTGTACAAGACCAACAGGTGTATCCGGGTCAAGGGCGAAGCTGGTATAAATGGTTTTTAAATCATCTCCCTCTATAGCCGGTGTGTGCTCCGTTTTCCCCAGTCAATCATGTTTTAAACTGACAGAAACCGCTAAAAAGCATCGTTTGCTTTCTTAAATTCTGGCTCTTTTATAATGTCTATTCCAAACTCACTGTTAAAATACCTCGCTAGACTAAACCGAAAAGCACGCAGACCAGACAGTTTATATTTTTCACCATTTTTCTTTCTTGCATCTGCATGAAATGACAACAGAATATCTCATTATCTGCCAATTCCTTCCGTGAAAACGAGTCGTTCAATGTTCTATTCACCATCTCGATTTTCGGTTCGATACGTTTTTTATAATTGGGTTTGGTTAACTCTTTCAATTGGATCGGGTTCGACCTTTTTCAATAGTTTGACACACACGAGGGAGAAGATTGAGACAGTAAAATTTCAGAGCAGACTGTCATTGCTATTATTTATACAAATAAAGCGTATTTAATCAATGGAACCACAAGAAGTCAGAGATGTGAATTAACTAATTAGTAAATTCGGGCTAGTGAAATTATAACTACGAATGTAATACATGAAAAACACAACCGGTATTTTTACTCATTTTTTGCTATCAAATTCCAAACCAGTGGATATATTCCAGGCAATATGCCCCTACTGTCAATAAATCTTCATAATTATCTCTATTTTGTAGTACTACCTGACTTATTTACTTCCAAAAACGATCGTTTTTTCCTAATCCGAATTTCCTCCATTCCTCCGTTTATTATAAGTACACGCAGATACATATATCTCATTAAATCATCTACGATCACTCAATCAACTGAAAGATCAGTGTTTTGTGATTCACAAGAAATAAATTTCTAGTGTGTTTAATGATTTAATATGAAGAGAAAACGAATATATTTCCATTCTAAATGAGCTAGTGCAAAATAGTCAGAAAAGTAAAAATCTCAAGTTAAATTCAGATAATTTTTATTTTCTTTCATAATGATTAATTTTATATGATTTAATTTTAATAGTGATAATAAAAAATTAATTTTTAAAAGAATGACCTTAGTACCCTGACTTTTTCAATGATTTTTTTCAACGTTTTATTTTAATTTTGATGTCCCTATATATGGGCTAGTAACATTTTACTTGGGGCTAGTGACTTTATTGCTGCCACTAGCCCGAGGGCTAGTACTTGAATTATTAAGCTGTCATATCCCTAGTAGTATATCTCTTGTATCACTACCCGTTACTCTTTTTTTTAAAATCTGAACGCGTTTTCTTTAATCTTATGAATAGTTTCTTTCGT